ACAAAGAAAAAAACTGTTGCAACGTTTACATTGGCTGGAGTAAAGCGCGTGAAACCAAAATCAAAATACACTTGAAATAATATTAATGAACTCAACAAAAAAAAAAAAAAACCTTTTACTTTGTTTTTCGTTTTTGTCATCATCCTTACCGTATTTCCGGTATTTAACGCGTTTTCACCGACACAGCTGAACAGGAACAAACATAGTGTGTGTTTGTGTGCGTGTGTGCGTGCGTGCGTGCATATGTGTGTGTGAGTGTGTGTGTGTGTGTGTGTTTGTGTGTGTGTGTGTGTGTGTGTGTGTGTAAAAGGCGGGCCGAATGAATTATTTATGACGAAATAAGGCACTAATACCTAAATCATTCATAATTATTCAGGACAAACAGAGCCGATGCCAATCAAACTTCAATTCGTCTCCTCTGCAGATGATGGCAACTGACATTTTGCGCTGATGGATGGAGAAGAGGTTGGCGAGTGTCAGACATTGGCTGACCTCTTCCTCGATCAGTCAATACAATTACAGGCCTAACAGCCAGAATTACAATCAGGGATGTTGCATAGGGTGAAATTAACTATGCACAGTGTTTGATTATGGCCTACAGGGTTAATGGCCCTCCGGTCATCTATTTAATGTCTCACAATTAAACTAATGTACAGTGTTTGCTGAAAGGGTCATTTTTAAAAGGGACCATTTAAATGTGTAGAGAACAGCTTTGATTTACATTTGTGGTTGTTGTTTGTTTTTATAATGAATGGTGTTCGTGGTTACATAATCTTTTTTTAATTTTATTTACCACTACATTAGAGCTGATGATAATGTGCTTATCTGGCATTAGCTTTAATCTACTTATTCTCTTATCGTGTGATTAATTCGCAACCAGTATTGGGATATGAGAGCGAGGGAGAGCCGTTCCTTGCATGGTGCCTCCATAAAGTGGCACTCTGATTTACCTTCTCCTTTACACCCTGTCAACAAAATGCATTAAACAACTGCTGAACCTACAGTTTTTGTGACATTTGTTCTCGTAAGAAAGACCTATGCTACCACATTTGACACTATACGTGACGCTCCATGGAAATGCGACATTCGGACAAAAACAAAAACAGAGATGTTTAAATATAACCTATATGTTTACAGCTGCCAGCTCAACGTCCTGTAAGTGCCTTCATCTGTTTCTCCTCGACCCGTCCAAAGAGTGAGTCAACGATGTTAAAGTGGTGTCAAATGGGCCTAATGATGCATCTGAATGTCATTAATGATAATTATGGATTATTATATAACGTTATTTTCTCCATCCAGTGTTACAGGAAACGTACGTCCTCTCTCTCTCTCTCTCTCTCTCTCTCTCTCTCTCTCTCTCTCTCTCTC